AGCGTTATTTTTAACGTTTTTTTTATTGGGTTTATGTTTAATGTTGCGTAGTGAATAAAATTGTGTATTTGATTGCTCAAAACCATTTTCTGGATGAATGAGAATTCAATGCCCATTTTCGGGTTCTTGAAATTGGATTTAGGTGGGTTTCCTACACATTTGTGAAATGTGCTTGTCCCACGTTGGAAAAGCTTAAGGTTTTGAATGGGTTTATATACCTTAACTTGGGACACTTGGGATGGGCCCCAAGGGGTACCCAAGTTTGTGGAAGGGTGAGGTTATGGGTGAAATGGGCTAGACTCATTGGACCCAAAAATAAAACCACGAATGCACGTCGCCGTTCAGGCTGGGCTGGGTGCGTAGTGTGAGGTTGGGTTGGGCTTATCCATCCCAATACTTATCTTGCCAAAAACATTGGTAATTTATTTTATTTTTTTTGTTTTAGTTTCAAAATTCAAAATAAAATTGGTCTAAATTTTTTTCCTTCATCCAAACAGTTCCTAACCCACCCGAACAGGTTTTTGGTAATTTATTTATTTATTTTTATTTTGGTTTCAAAATTCAAAATAAAATTGGTCCAAATTTTTTTCCTTCATCCAAACAGTTCCTAACCCACCCGAACAGGTTTGAACTTGTTGAATCCTTCCCAGACAGATCTGGAACTGTCCAAATAGTCTAAACATATAATCTATTTGTTGAAATCTGTCCGAATAGTTGCCTATCTGTTGGCACCTGTTCGAACAGCCACCAATCTGCTTATATAAAGGCTGGTTCCAGCAATTCATTTCATTCAATTTTTTCCTTAGAATTTCGTCATTTTTCTTTTGTTCTCCCTGTGCTCTTGCATCTGCTACTGCATTTATATTTTAGGAAGAAAAAGAGAGAGTTATAACAGAGTTTTGGTTCACCAGGTTTGAATTTGTAGTGCTGCAAATTTAAATATTAGTCGTTACATCTTGGGAAGTAGATGCCGGTAAACTCGAAGCACCGGAGCGAGGGCGAAATCTACTTTAAGGAGATTGTGTCCAACACAAGCCTCGACATTAATTTCTGTAAACGTTTAATTCAGAAAGTAATTTATATAATTATTTTCTGAATTATTTTTATTTTATTGTTTATTTAATTTATACATTTAATTTACACACAGACACCTCTATGGGGGTTATAACAATTTACTCCCTCTAAGCATATAATATTCAGACTTCAATATTTTAGCCAACCATAAGGATAGATTAGATCTGTCAATCAATTAGATCTGAATCAAATTTGGTGTAATTTGAATCTAATGCAAGTATAAGATAATTTGTACTTGAACACATTTTAATTATGACAAATTCAATAAAATCTAAAGTTGATTCGAAAATCTAACCCAACCTATTGAATTCAAGAAACTCTCCATGCTTTTAAATAAAATAATAAAAAAAAAGTTGTCCTCAATTATAAGCTGTAAAATTAAAACTTTATGAAAACAAATTCCCCTATTTAAAGACTCAACTAATAAAAATTAAGTTTTATAAATGTAAAAAATTAATAAATAATATTTTTAATCTAATAGTTAAATGTAAATAAATAAGGTTTCGACTTGTGATCTCGCCATTAGACTCAAATAAGTTTGAGTTGCTCTTGAAAATTCACCTCATACCTTATAAATCTAAAAGTAGCCTGAAAAATGTGAGGTCACTTCGCTCATATAGAGTTTAGAGAAATGGTTGGTAGCTCGAAATTCCCGGGCCCGAATGGCTCGAAATTATCAAAACGTCGCCGTTTTGATTTTTTTTTTCTCTCTCTTTTATCTGTCTGTGAAACGCAAGAAGAAGGGCAGAAAGAGAGGGAATGAGAGAGAAAGAGAGAGAAAGGGAGAAAGGGCCGATCTGATCTTCCTTCCTCTTCCACGATTTGATCTTCCTCTTCCACTCTGCCCTCGCCATCACCGGCGACTACCATCATCGGCAGATTTGTTTTCTCTTTTTTTTCTTTTTCTTTTTTGAATCTGAAGATGAAAGAGAAAATTAAAAAAAAAATTGTTGGCTGCTGATGATGATGTTGATGAAGCTGTTGTTGTTGTTGATTAATGATGTGTTGATTTGGGTTTGATTTTTGTTTGATTTGGTTGATCTCTCTCTGTCTGCTCGGGTTCATGTTGATGAAACCCAAACGAGCTTGATTTGGTTGATTTGGGTTTAATTTGGTTGATCTCTCTCTCTCTCCCGATCATTTTGTTTGATTTCATCAACATCTCTTTCTCTTTTTATCATTTTTCTTATGGGTTTGATTTGGTTAATCTCTCTCTCTCTGCTGGGTTCATCAAAACGACGAAATTTTTTTGGTTGATCTCTCTCTCTGCTTGATTTTCTGGGTTCATCTTCCGAAAGATAAAAAGTCACCTTTTTCAAAAACCCTTTTTTGGTTGAAAGAAAAAATTAAAAAAAAAAAGACACCAAAACGACGTCGTTTTGGTGTCGAACCAAATTCGAGCCTCCGTATTTCGAGCTACAAATCGGAATTGTAGAGTTTATTAACAATTAGTTGTCTAAAATCAATCAAAACTAGCATAGACATTGCATTACTAAAGTATTTTGCTTTTCTTTTTTTCTGCTAATAATAAAAGTATTTTACCTTTAATGTCATAAAAAATTATACTAGACTTGGGCAATTTTTTGTGTTTGGCCACGTTGGACTTTTTATTGAATTATTAGGACACGTGAAATGCACTGGACAAGTTTAACCCATCCATTAGTCCACTACCAAATTTTTTTACCAAAAGGTACTTATCAATATCATGTGATTTGCTACATTATTGCATTATTGTGCAAAGATTGGTCATATTTTAACTATTTAGATGTCAACATTGTGCTTTGGTTTGTTCACAAATGCCTACTTGCGACCCCGTTAGGCATCATAAATTATTATTAATATGATGTATATTTTAAGAATTCATGACATTCTTGGACCATTAAAATTTAAGAGAAATAAAAAAAGGCTAGATTAGATCGTCTATTTTGGTTTACTGTGAGTTTATTTTGATGATATAAATTTTTCATCTTGTAAAATTTGTCAAGTAGTTTATTCATGTCAAATTTCAAGTTGATCGGATATCGATAACTATTTTATTATTTTTCAAACAAATGTTATTAATAAGAGAAGTTATTGGTTAGTCCAGAAGCAGCGCCACGTATTGCTTCACATACATTGTGATTGATGGAGGGGATATGGCTTACAATTTTGTATTGAATAATTGAAAAACATAAAAGGATATGTTGGTTTGTGAGTGGCCAGAAGCATAGTCACGTGGTGTTCCTAGACTAACCAAAAAATTTTCCATTAATAACCACAACAAGCATTTCTAGGATATACAATACATACCAACCACAAGCTTGTGGCCCATTGGCTTGTTCACCACTGAGTAAGGCTCTGGGGTTCCCCAGTTCGAGTCTCGGCAGCTACAACACTTCATAGCTAGCGGCAAACTCCCACCATGAGTGAGGATTATAGGGGTGCCCGTTAAATTGGTCAAAATACCCGTGAAAAACCAATATATATATATATATATACACCACACATACATTTTTTGCTAATCTATTAGTCAACCACGAGTGAAGTAATGTAAAATGATAATGGTAAACAATTACTTCTTTTATTTTTCCCCCAATTTTATCATTTGTATACCATATGCCATCTCTCTCTCTCTCTCTCTCTCTCTCTCTCTCTCAATCCTTTCAACAAATCCCCAAACCCCACCTTTCACATGAGAAAGAGCAATGTGAAAGCATCCATGCCAAACACAAGCAGCTGATATGAGTGCTGCAACTTGTATAAACAACCAAAAATAAAGTTCCAAGGCCATAATACAACCAAAACAATGCTGTATAAACAACCCCCCCCAAAAATCTAACTTTTATATGCTGCAACTAGTGACCTCCAAAGCTTCTCTCCCACGGTTAAAAATCTCCAACTTACATATTTTTTTTTAGACACTTATCATAATCTTAACAATATCCTTACTTTTTTAAACCCCCACCCCTACCAATCCTTTCCTCCGGGGGCAAGGTAGAACAGGATAAAATTCTTCCCTACCCTACTTCCTCATTGAGGTGGGGTGGGAGATGTAGGCGTGGAACACGACGGAAGAAAATTGTCATTCCTATTGGCACCTTCTCCAACAACCCCCACCCTCCCCATAATCCCTGACCTCTAGTGGATCCTTTTCAACCCCCACCAACCCCTTACATCCGATCCAGCCTCCCCACCTCCAGTAGCCCTTCTTCTGTTATCCTTCAACTCTCTTACAACCTGACACACATACACACACAATTAGAGGTTAAGTTGGGGTTAGGGGACAAACCCAAGATTATCATTATAGGGTGCAAAAGTATACTTTCAAGTGCAAATCCTTATAATTTTTAACTTTTTAATAAAATATATATTTTTCAAATTCTGGGGGTGCGGCACCTCCTCTGCACCCCCTAGATCCATCCTTGATTAGGGTGGAGAATGGCTAGGTTGGGGGTAGGGATGAGGACAAAATTAAAATTTTATAGCAAGGTAAAATTGTAATACAAAAAATATGAAGGGTGGGGATTTAAAGAAAAAAGTAAGTCGCTATTAGAAATGGAGTGCTGCTATTAGCACCAGTCAAAATTCTTTAAACTCCCCATTTTATAGTTTTTTTTATTACAATTATATCCTAAAGTAAAATTACATTAAAATACATTATTAAATGGAACACCCACCTATCAATAAGAACTAATACTCTATAATATTGGACACCTACCCCCACCCTCACCCCCACCTCCAACTCCAATTATACGTATTCTATGTTTGTAAACCCTAAACTTATTACTTTTCATAACCAACTAACATAAATCTTAAATCTATTATTTTTCATAATCATCTTAAATCCTGAATGTGTCATCTTCATCACCATCATCAATGCTATTGAACTTGAAAGTTTTGCTTCAAGTATAATGTATACTTCATCACTTATTTCACTGTGTCGAGCAATGGGGGACAATGACAATAATTCTAGTGAGACCGACGTTCCATTGGTAAGTTTATCTGTCTTGTATTAACATTCTCAGTCGTTTTCGGTCGTTCTTGTTTCGTTCGAGCTGTTCAATACTGGTTTGCTGATTGTTAGAATTATGTTCGGTAATACAGTACTGAACATAATCCTTTCGTTCAATACATAGGTTCTGAACATTAATGTAGATAGTCAGTTATGTAATTTTCTTTGTTAAACTAACTTAGAATGGAAAATAGTGAATTGGACTGGATTTAAGTTATGTATTTTGAGTTGATTTAATTCATGTTATTTTAAGTTGTGAGTTGGAATGGATTCAAGTTACACAGTGATGAACAAATTTTGTTCGGACATACAGTGTTGACAGGATCATTATTGTTCGACAAACCAGTTCTGAACAAAATACATTTTTTCGACTACACAGTGGTGAACAAATTGTTTTGAGCTACATTCAGAATTCTGATGGCAATTCAGACGATGATTCTGATGGCGATTCAGACGATGATTTTGTTTTTCCTCATCTTGCAAACGATTATGCAAATCCCGTAAAAATGAGAGTATCTTCGATCGATCTCAGCAATGACGAAGATACAAAAAGCAACGAAGAAAATGATGATCAGAGGATGAGAGAGGTTACTGATTCGGCGATACGGAGAGTGTTCAGAGAAGATGAGAGTCGTTGGAATGCTTCGTTGACAGCCGAGACGGCGACGAGAGTGATGGAGGATTAGGGGCCAAGAATTCTATATTGGACCAAAGCTCCAAACTTTGAAGATTGAGTGAGTCAGGGAAAAAGAGGGATGAAAAATTAGGTGGGTGTGCATTTCATTGTGAAAATATTATGAATATGGATAGATTTTGTAATAAGTGGGGTGTCCAAAAAAATATTATTAAAATTTAGGGTTTAGGGTTGGGATCCAAAGAAATAGGGGGTCTAAAGAATTTTAGTAGGTGCTAAATAGCAGCACTCTAAAAAATTCAAAATAATTTATAAGATGCTAATAAGAGCACTTTTATTATTTTGACAACCATTTGAATTTAAAAACAGAAGTAACTAGTATTTCGGCCTCAGCTTCTCAATCAACTTTGGTAAATCATTTTTTTGTAATGACTTGAAAAACTCAAACCCGAACTTATTCGATTAATACCCCTCTTAAAGCTGATTATCATGGGACTTGTTTTACTGCACTATATTAGATGGCATGATTGTTAGAACTAAATCAAATTTGCACTTCACTTAAATTTGTTATATATTTGTTGTAATTTTTTATTTTACTTTATTATTATGAATAGCTTCAAAAATTAAACTCACATTTTAGACTAATGATGTAACACTCTATTAAATATCTAAATCAATTATTTCTCTCATTTATTTTTTAATTATTAACTAATCATCTTATTGACACCACTAAATTTAAAAAGTGAATTTAAAAAATCAGTATGTATATCATTTTTATTTATGTATAAAGGTGTAAAACTTCATTGATTATTACCAAAATTAATAATATTCCTCAATTTCGTGATAATCCTTGAAATTGGAATGTCTAACATTTTCAAAAGCTAAGAGATGATGTTAGTTGGAAAATAATGCCCTACTGAAATTCTTAGATTTTAGTCATTACACAGTGATGAACAAATTTTGTTCGGACATACAGTGTTGACAGGATCATTATTGTTCGACAACCCAGTTCTGAACAAAATACATTTTTTCAGCTACACAGTGGTGAACAAATTGTTTTGGGCTACATTCAGAATTCTGATGGCAATTCAGACGATGATTCTGATGGCAATTCAGACGATGATTTTGTTTTTCCTCATCTTGCAAACGATTATGCAAATCCCGTAAAAATGAGAGTATCTTCGATCGATCTCAGCAATGACAAAGATACAAAAAGCAACGAAGAAAATGATGATCAGAGGATGAGAGAGGTTACTGATTCGGCGATATGGAGAGTGTTCAGAGAAGATGAGAGTCGTTGGAATGCTCCGTTGACAACTGAGACGGCGGCGAGAGTGATGGAGGGTTGGGGGCCAAGAATTCTATATTGGACCAAAGCTCCAAACTTTGAAGATTGAGTGAGTCAAGGAAAAAGAGGGATGGAAAATTAGGTGGGTGTGCATTTCATTGTGAAAATATTATGAATATGGATAGATTTGGTAATAAGTGGGGTGTCTAAAAAAATATTATTAAAATTTAGGGTTTAGGGTTGGGGTCCAAAGAAATGGGAGGTCCAAAGAATTTTGGTAGGTGCTAATAGTAGTACTCTAGAAATGCTCTTATTTCTCACCAAATTTCATCATTTTGGTGAGAAATGAAATAGTTAAAATATAAATTTTCTCTCTTACAAATTTCTTATCATTCTTTTGCTATTTCTTACCAAATTTACACCAAACATGAGAAAGTGTTCTTCTTTTCCGTTTTCCTTATCATTTTTCACCAAATAACCTATCTAAAATGTCAATTTTTGTTGAAACTTAGAGGGTGTTTGGAATGTGATGGTGTGGAATGTGTTGACCTCTCAGTTAACCAAATAACAAGAATAACATGTTTACAAATTGCTGCATATATCAAGCAAAGTCTTAAAACATTTCCAATCCTTCATAAAAAAAAAATAAAAAAAACGGAAGGGAAAATTCCAAAAAGAACATCCAGGGTTTGAAGGATTGAAGATCAAGGTTTTTTTTTTTTCCGACTTGTATTGGTTAAAAGATGTCTTTAGGATAAGTATTTTAGCCTCCGTTTGGGAAGTGGGTTGGCTTTTTGGCTTTTTGGCTTTTTTGGCTATTTTAGCCTGGGCTAAAAAGTTTGGTTTGGGAAGGGCTTTTTGGCTTTTTGGCTTTTTTGACTTTTTTTGTGAGAGAAGAATGTAATGATTATGGGTTGGATGTGATGTTTTGTTTTTTGTGGCTAAAATAGCCTATTTTGTTTTTTGTGGCTAAAATAGCCAAAAAAGCTCCGTTTAGCTCTTGCCAAACGGAGGCTAATTTTGATGAAAAATTTGATTCACGGGATAAGTGAACCATATATCAAATTGTTACAAGAAAACTAAACAAAATCGAGTAGTTTGATCTGGATTAGATTGGTTAATAATTTTTTTGATTTTTATGATTAGCCTTACGGCTATATCAAATCAGACTTTTAATCTAAATAATTGAACAAATTTAAAAGAAAAAGATAAATAAATAAAAGGTGGGAGATAATTTTAAGTAAAGAAATAACATCATGTTCCATCCTTGTTCCCTTTGATACTCTAATCTTACATTCTATAACATGCCTGTCCCCTTAAATAAAGAAACAGCCGTGATCCATACACCAAGCGGGGGTCGCGGCCCCAGTGACGTGGCGCACCCTCACTGGCTGAAAATTTAAAAAAAAAAAAAAATAAATAATTTTTTTTTTTGGACCAATCCGGGGCCGACACCTCACTGGGGGTCGACCCCCAGTGGGGGTATGAAGCTTTTTTCATAAAGAAAAAACATCACCCAGACTGCAAGATTAAATTAAAAATTTCTGTTAAATTTTTTTTACAATAAATTAAGGAAAAATTATTTTTTTGAAAAAACTTCACAGTTTGACCCGAATAATTATTTCAATTTAAACTCTCAATATTTAAAATGATACTATTAATTTTAATCATTCATTCGTATCCATTGGTTATAATCAACCTAGAAGGAATAATTTAGACAGATTCACTATTTTTTTCCCCTCTTAATTATTGTTGATGGTCACGTCTTATAGCCTTATCATCGTCCATCACTACTCATCTTTACAACCCACAACTATTGCTCCATCTATTTTTCCTGTCCACCACTACTTCTCTATTTTTCCAGTTCTCTATCACCTATCTCATTCTTTCCTTAGTTCATAGCCATCAATGCCATCCAACATCATTGACAAAAAGTGATTAAATTGTCTAAATTGTCATATTTTATAAGATATGATAACTAACAAATAGTTAAAATTGATATTATTTTAAAAGTTAAAAGTTTAAATTGGAACTATTAAAATCTTAGGGTTTAATTTGTTACTATTGGGGTCAAATCATAGATTTTTGGGGATAAATTACAGTAGACTCCCTAAACTATGACCCATTTATATTTTACCCTCCAAATTTCAAAACTCAACACTTAATATTATCTTATTATAGTTAACCCTTTTTTGTAAGGGTTTTGTTAGAAATTTACAAAAAATCAAACCATGTGTAAAATACATGACACATTTATACTTTTAAGACAATAATATTTTTATCTGGTGATCTCGTTTATACTTTGCCACTAAAATTAAAGAGGCAAAGTGCAAATAAAATCACCAGATAAGAGAATTGTTATCCCAAAACAATCAATAACATATATTTTTAAAAAAAATTTAATAAATATGTTATGTGATTTACACGTGATCTTTTTTTTTTTTTAGAATCCTAATAATAAAATTAAATATAATAAGATAATATTTTGAGAGAATTAACTGTTAAATTTTAAAACTCAAAAAGATAAAGCACATTTATCCAATTTTTTTGTTATAATTTTCTCATAAATTAATTAAACGTAGTTACAAGACACACTCTTTACTCTAAAATTATACTAGTATTTTGAAAACATAATTGATAACAATAACATGACTTTTAAAAAAAATTAAATTTATATTTTCCCTCAAATTTTTCTATAAACTTTCTCACTAATTTCCACTAAACATTATTTTCCTTCGAGTCAGGGGCTATATACGTGGAGCCCATGGCTACCCATTCGCATTGCTGGCTCGATTTGTCCGTTTCCCTTCGTAGTGTTTGTCTGCTGAGAAAGACTAGAGAAAGAAAGAGAAAATAGTTCTGGTTCGTTTAATCAATCAACACACTCAGTTGAGAAATTAAGACTACCCTTTTTATTTCTCCTCTCTTTTTACACTTCAATTGTCTCTCTCTAGCTTCTTCGTCTACTTTCTCTACCTTCTTCAACTTCTCCCCATACATATCTGCACTAGAAAAGATAATTGGAGAGAGAAAGACAAGCAAAAACCCAATACATATCTGTGTAAAAAGTGTGATTTGACGGATCTATAGATCTAACACTTTCACCACCACATGGATTGCTCGATTTCCTTCAGATCGCCATCGTTTTCGTTTGGTATGGTTCAGTAGCTGACCCTGAAACACCACAGAACCGCCTAATAATCATACTGTGAGTGCTTTTTCCTTCTGTTATTGAAACCAAAATATGTTGTTGATGTTGGCTATAATTTCATATTTCTGTTTTTAAATTTTTTTGGGCATTTGATTTTAATAGTTGTATGATTCAAGTGGACTTTGAAGGTAGATTTGGCCCCTTTTGTTAGCCACAACTTTGTGTTCTCTCTCCATTTTTTTTCCCGATTTAAGGATATGGGTAATGATTATTTTTCTTTTTTTTTTAGTGGTTACATAATTGGGTTTTAGTGTTGAGAACCTTTTGTTCTCATTTACTGATTTATTGTGCTGAATTTACTAAGAAAAGGACTATCTTTTATCAATTCTGTGATCCTATCATCCAAATTGTTGTTGTTCTTGTTGTTGGTGATGTTGTTATTGTAATTGTGTGAATTTAATTTCTTTTTACAGTATTATTGGCGGTCTGTTGGTAAGGAGGCCTTGTGGTAGGTCTTTTTTGGATGGAGTGTTCATTGCATCCATCTCGGATGTTGAGGCATTGATGGTAGGTCTTGGGGTGAGATGAGGGATGCTATCAAGGTTAATGGACTTTTTGAGGGCCTGTTGGCGACCATCAGCAGACCATCACGTGCACATGAGTTCAGATGTATCTGGCAAACAAGATGGGCTTCTTTGGTACAAAGACAGTGGGCAACACTTGAATGGTGAATTCTCGATGGCGGTTGTTCAGGCCAACAATTTGCTTGAGGACCAGAGCCAGATTGAATCAGGCTGCTTGAGCTTGCTGGAGTCCGGTCCATATGGAACCTTTGTTGGAGTTTACGACGGTCATGGTGGGCCTGAGACGTCACGTTACATCAATGATCACCTCTTTCACCATCTCAAGAGTAAGCAGGATAAAATGAGATTGTTTTGTTTAACAGCAATCTGATTCAATTCCTATTTCAAAAGGCATTGTAATTGTGTGAAGTTCAAACATTGCTTTAAATTCATATTTACAATCCAGTTTCTGTTGTTATAATCCACATTTTCACAACTGGAACGGATTCAAATGATTGTTGATTGGGATTGAGTTTTTATACCTGCTGGTTCAGTTTCAATTGGTGTTTGGCAGGGTTTGCTTCTGAACAACAATCTATGTCAGTGGATGTGATACGGAAAGCATTACAAGCGACAGAAGAAGGGTTTCTCTCTCTTGTTACGAAACAGTGGGCTATGAAACCTCAGATTGCAGCCGTTGGATCTTGCTGCCTGGTTGGGGTGATCTGTAGTGGGACACTTTACATTGCCAACGTTGGTGATTCTCGTGCAGTTCTGGGGAGGCTTGTCAGGGCAACTGGAGAGGTTCTTGCTATACAGCTGTCAACAGAGCATAATGCTAGCATAGAGTCCGTCAGACAGGAATTGCGTTCTTTGCATCCGGATGACCCACATATTGTAGTTTTAAAGCATAATGTATGGCGTGTAAAGGGCCTGATACAGGTAAGTTTGCTGCATAAGTAACAAAAACTGATTTTCTAGTTAACTTCGGGCATGCTTACTTTTATCATTCTTGCTAATCTTGTGTATTATTTTTATTTCAGGCTGTGAACCTTGTCATTATCATAGGGCTAATTAAGAGTGTGACGCTTTAGTTTTCTGACAGTGGAGAGTGTAATTTGCCTTACATAGTGGGTGCATGTAGTAGTAAATAATCTGTCTCACTTTTTGTATCTGTTCTGTGAACAATTTAGTCATATCTTTTCTTCTAATTTCGAGTAAGAAAAGTGGGTCTACATTAATTTTTGGGGTGGTTTGGTCTCCTGTTTTAAAAAATGATATGAGAATGTTTTTTAATTTAAACTTGTTCGCTAGTGAGCTAAAATTGGTGTGAAAGTGGTTGGGTTTCTTTTAATGCCCACTTTGACTCTTTTTTTTTTTTTTTTTTTTTTTAATGCCCACTTTGACTCTTTTTTTTTTTTTGTCTTCTTGTTTTCTTTCTGTTTCTAACTGAACAAGAGGTAGATGGAAAAATGTCAAATGTTTTCAAGGGCCATCCAACCATCTAATCAGGATTGCTGGATTAGAAAAGGTAGTCTGGTTCATCGTTCTTGTTGTAATTGTTACGGTTTTCTATATCTTCTAGAACTGATTGTTTTTGAGCTAGTCCAGATTGATTACTCATGTAACGGGTTTGGTTTTGGGGACTTCTTTTTTTCCTTTTTCAGTTCGTCTTTTCTCGTCTTTCTTTGCCTCCCCATCTTCTTCTCTTCTCTGAAGCAAATAAGTTGACATCAATTTGAAATCCTCTACTTTAGATTCTACATGGATGAATAGTTTGCGTTCTCATTTTTTACTTATGTACGATTTTGGATTGGTTTACCATAAATGCATATTTCTTATTTAATTCCCCTTTTTTTAGGTTTCCTATTCTAGTAGGCTATTCTATGTAAGTTGAGTCATTTAATTGGCCTTATGCGTTCCATTTTTTAGATCAATTGGTTCCTTGTTGTAGCTCTTTGTGTGGGGTGTGTGGAGGACAGTGATATAGTGTGAGTTTGATAGACTAAAGTAGGAAAACTAAATGTTGAACAATAGTGCTTTAGAATGAAAAACTTTATTATAGTGAAAAAATGTGGGATCTGACGTCAGTAACACTGAGGCTGAGTTGGGTCTGAATTTTTTTTTAGCTAGGCTTCAAAAGGAACTGTTCTTATTTCTCAGATTGGTCATGATAAGGGGCGTAAGATTGGAGAAGACCCTGCCCATATATTTGGAGAGAAATGAACTTTTAAGTTCTTTTGGAATATTTTGTGATTAATAAGGTACCGAAAAAAAAGAAAAAAAAAGGAAAGAAAGAAAAAAGGAATGATATGAGCCAGGAATAAGGTCATTTATTCTTTGTTTTATTGGATAGTCAGCAATCAATGCACGTGTGTTGATTATTAGCATGGTGAAAGCTAGTTCAAGAAGAAGTAGAATGTGAAATGATTGCAAAACCCCCATGAAAAAAGAAAAAAATTTCGAATATCTAGATTTGCAAGAACTCGGTCCAATTTGAGTACGATGAGAAAATTGTGTAAGATGGTTTGATCATGTGCAACAAATACAAACGGTTGCATTCCCAATGGAAGTGTTCTTTGGTTTTAATTGAAGGTGCTACAAGGAAAAAGCTAAGACAGAAAAATTCAGGTCTAGAAAGTGAGAGAAGATTTAATGGCTTGTGCTTTATGAGAAGAGATAACTTTATTGAGTGGCAAGAAAGATCTGCTTAGCCATTTCTACTAGTTTGGATTGTGCAATGTGGTATTGAGTTCTTCTTAAATTTAACCTCTGTGTCACCTAAGTGGTTTGTAGGTTATGACTTTCTTTCTCAATCTCATTCTTTTGTTACTACTTCAACTACATGTCCTTGGGAAAGTCTGAATTTATATAGTCTTTAAGTTCAAAGATATCTTCTGGTAATTGTGCTAGTTTTAGAAGTTTATTTCCATCCTTTGCTACATCATGTACTCATTGCTCTTGAATATAAAATGTAAAGCTCAGGTTGTGATTCATTAACATTTATGAGAAGCCTTGCATGTTGACTTAACACCCGTCTTTCTCATTTGTTCTGCTGTTTGGGTAATTGCATCATCCCAAGTTTTAGAAACAAAGTATACCATGGTCATTGTAGTTTTATACACCCTCCCCATTTTCTCAATCAACTTGTGGCAAATATTCTTATGTTTTGTACGTTTCTGCCGCGTTCTAAATATTTAATGGATTATAAGTTGTCTGTTCCTCCCAACTCTTCTGGGTTTGCAGTGTTAGCTTATGTAATGTTTCATGTTCATGTCATTTTAATCGTAATTCACAATAGAAAACAATAGGATCTTTACGCTCCGTTTTTATTCTCCCTAGAAAATATTTTTCGCATTTTTTGGCTTTTGGTATGACGGAAAATGAAAGTCAACAGAAAACAAGTTTATATGGTAAAAAATGTTTTCCACTTTTGAAAGGTGAAACATTTTGTTGATTATATTTTTATTAATATCACCAAACTACCATCGTCGCTGCCACCTCCCACCATACCGCCACCACTCCACCACCCTAACTCCACCACTGCCACGTGTCCACCCCACCACCACCACCAACACCACCACTAATTAGTTTCGAGGTTGCAACCAAACATAAAAAAACATTTTTTATGGAAAAAAATTTTGGGAAAGGTTTTTCAATTTCCGTAGAAAATGTTTTTTACCGAAACAAACAGAGCTGCACCTGATTGCTTTCATCTAGTTTTGACACTGCACTAAAAGAATAAGAGTTTTTTACACAAAGACCCCTTAAACTATTAGGAAGTTTCACTTTGGCCCCCTAAACTTTAAAAGTGTACAAATGTAACCCCTAAACTATTGAGAAGGATCCCTTTGCCCCCCTAAACTACAAAAACGTAATAACCACCTAAATTATTGGCGTGTTTTACCCCTTCCATTAATGGTCCAATTTGTACGTTTTTATAATTTAGAGACATTTTTATGCTTTTATAGCTTAGAGGACAAAGTGATACTTCTCAATAGTTTAGGGGGTTTCGTGTAAATAACCCAAAGAATAACTTACGTGTTTTGATGTTGTGGTTCTGGTAGTGTGGTTCCTTACAATATTTATATGACAACTGATTTAAAATTTTCAGCTAGATTTATTTCTACATTGCTAGACGTGATTAATCTTAGTTTGTTGAGGTTTTCATCTTGCAGATTTCTAGATCAATTGGTGATTTTTATCTAAAAAAGGCTGAATTCAACAGAGAGCCTTTGTATGCTAAGTTTCGCCTTCGTGAACCTATTAGAAGGCCAATATTGAGTTCTGAGCCATCAATTTGTGTGCATGAACTCCAACCCGATGATCAATTTCTCATATTTGCATCTGATGGGTTATGGGAGCACCTTAGCAATCAGGAAGCAGTTGATATAGTACAAAATCACCCTCACACCGTAAGTTATTTTATTTTATCTAATCTTGGCATTGCATATTGGTGTCTTCTATTGAGAGTAGATGGATTTTTTATTCGTGGATGCTATATAATACATTATTGAACCATTTGGGTCTTCACTATCATTACTAGTGCTGGAGGTTGACAAAAGCTAGTCCTACCATTTCCTTTTAATATTCCTAGAACAACTGATTTGGTTATCACTAAAATATTATGATATTTGTGTTAGATATAAAGTACATATTTTTACTACGAACAAACTAGGTTCATGTCATCACACAATTCCCCTACTTATTTCATTAACTACGTGATTAATGTCGATTTTTCTGAAGAGAGCTTTTCAATTCAGCATGGTTGGTGATTATCATTGATGAAGGCATTAATGTTTCTGTGGTTCATTAATTAGTTGTGCCAATGCACCTTCTTGCGTCATAATGAAAACTTACATCAACCGAAAATTGAAGGAAAATGATAGAGATTCCTACTAAATTACCTTTTTTCTTTTTTTTACCAATTACACACGCGTGGTCCCAAATGGGTGTGGGTTCCATACCCGTGTGTAGTTGGTAAAAAGAATTGGTCATTTAATAGGGGTATCTAGCAAAGTTATCAAAGTCTTGTGCAACCAGATGACTGATTTATTTATATCCTCGTAAAAATAGCATTATTTAGTTGATTATGCACTCTCTCTTTTTTAGGGTCTAGTGCTATGAAAGCATTGGCTGCTAGGAAGTACAGATGCGGGTACAGGTTACACTCATATGGAAAAAACCTAAAAAAATGGATAAGAGTTAAATTTTTTATTTTTTTATTTTTTATAAATTTTAATAGCTTATGACATATAACCATTAAAAAATCAAATGAAAAATTAGTTAAAGTATTTTTGTAATGATAAAAGAAAAGAACAATAGTGCTCTATTTGATTCATTGGAATGAGATGGAATGGAATGGAAGGAATGGCCATTCCTTAAACTCCCTTACGGAATGATCATTCCATTACATTGGTGCATGATGTTCTATTTATAATGTATTTTTTATTATTTTTATTAGTCAACCAAACATGAGAATGGATATTTTGATAGAATGATCATTCCATTTCACTCCATTCTAATGAACCAAATACTACCCAAGTATTTTTTTATATTTTTTATAATTGCAAAAATACCCTATATTTTTAAAGTTTTAAAAATAGGCACAATATAATTGTTCTAGTACTACCATTTTTTATATAAAAAAAAATACATTTATACCCCAAAGTATCCACATAAGTACCCAAAATGTACTCATGCCACACCTGAACTGTACCCATTCCGTATCCAAAGTATTTCGCTATGGGATACATATTTTGCGTACCTAGTACACTTGCAACGATATTGGTACGCATATCCATACTAGTTAAGCACCAACCGGTACTTGTATGGCAATATTTTTAAGAGTATTCATGCTTCATAGATTGGCTATCACTAGCAAATGTGCCCCTTAATATTATGTTATGGTGCTATATATCCATAAGAATCATGTGAATTGTAAATCGGGTCATTGAGGGTGGAGATATCAATGTGAAAATTGATTTGGGTGAGGGACATACACAGACATGACTTGGTAGATCTGCAACTCATATTTTCCTTGATGCAGGGAAGTGCTCGAAAGCTGTTGAAAGCTGCACTGCAAGAAGCTGCTAAGAAAAGAGAAATGAGGTACTCTGATTTGAAGAAGATCGACCGTGGTGTCAGGCGTCATTTCCACGATGACATTACAGTCGTAGTTTTATTTCTTGATTCAAATCTTGTGAGTCAAGCCAGCTCTGTCAAAGGCCCTACTTTGTCACTTAGAGGGGGTGGGGTAAACCTACCCTCAAGAGCTTTAGCCCCTTGTGCAATGCCGACAGAGCAAAGTACCACTTGATGAAGTTCAAGTTTTTCCTCTTTTGAGGCACTGCTGGTGGTAGATTCAAGAGTTATTAAGAGAAGGTACTCACTGGAATTAGTTCTTTAATGTACAATATTACATTTAACTTTGGGACAGAGATACTTTATTGAGTTTCTGAGACAAGAGAAAGGGAAATTGATCAAATCAGGGAAAGAGAGCTTGAAAGTAGAGATTCTTACTGGAAGGCAACTTTCATACTTACTGATTTTCAGGAGTTTTTTTGCTCATCCTGTCTCTCTCATAGTTCTTGTTATGTAAATTATGTGAAATTACAACCCTGGAAATCAAAATTTATGTTCTTGTTGCATTGGCTAAATTTTTTTTGGAAGAGAGACATTGATTAAATCATCTTCTGTTGCAACTGAAGAGAAGACAATAAGATGTGGTACCACGTCAGTTTCAAGAAATAGGTGAGGCAGTCTATCGGCAGTAGCAGCAAAAAAGGATCAAAAATAAGAAAATTGGTAGTAGTGTTGTGCAGTAGGATTGAATTCTGCAACTTGAAGGATGCTTGCAGCAGGATCTGAAACCGGAAAAAAAAGGAATTGTAAGTTTTATTTTTATTTTTGAGGATTTGAAATACAGTATATATATCTAGCCCTACTACTAAGCAGCGGGAGTGGGTGAAACCCCGCAACAGATGGTAATGATATGGATGGGCACAACTTGAGGACTGTCATCCAACCTTGCTTATGAGAATGTTGGGGAAATGTCTTTCTATCGCTTCTGGTGAGGTTTGAACCCTAACTGCTCATGAGAATGTTGGGGAAATGTCGTTCTATTGCTTCTGGTGAGGCTTGAACCCTAGCTGCTCATGAGTGTGTTGGGGAAATGTTGTCGGGCTAGAACTCCATTGGCAAGGAAGTGTAAGTTGATCATTGGGAATGTGTAGATCTATGTTTGAGTCATTGTAGTAGTAGATACACATTGTTTCATGCATCAAATATGCCTGTTTGGTGAAATTTTTTGCAATTGTTTATGATTTTTTAAATTTAAGAATCTGCAGCTTTTACTTACAAGAAGTAAAAATGATATAAACGAAAGTTGGAAAACAAACATCAATATGATGGAGGAATTATGATTGGCCAGTTTGGTACTGTTTTATTGGGTCCGGTTTTAAATAAAAAAATAAAAATAAAAAAATTGTGTCAAAGTGTTTAGTGTAACTCCAGTTCAATATTTTAAAATACCAAACTAATGAATAAATTGGAAAAAGGAATCGGGTGGAGTTATTAATTCAATTGTTGGGTTGAACCAGATTAATATTAAACCATGACAGCATAATTACTTGATAAATGTAAGTATTAAATATAAGTTATATATTTATATTAATATGTTTACTTAGGTCTCGTTTGGGAGATAATAGCTTTAGTTTAAAAGTCAAAAAATTATTAAAAAAATCAAAAAGTCTATAACTTATATTAAAAAGTCTATAGCTTATATTAAAAAGTCAAAAATTTCTTTTTCTCACAAATTTTTGCACAGCTTTTCGTAAAAAATAAAAAAATTTCCAAACGTGCAAGTTTTTTATTATCTCATGTTTTAGGAAAATTCTATTTCCACACACCACATTGTCTCTGTCTACACACTTAATGAATTTTATTTTTATTACAAATTTACCTTTAAATAAAATGACCAAAATAGACATCTATCCACACACTTAAACATCCAAGCTGGAGATCTCTATACACAATTTCTTATTTTATACTCTCTCTTTTTTTTTCCTCCAACTTTGGGTATTATATGTGAATTAATCACTGTTGATTCTTTTATTTCATAGTTTTTCCTTTCTTTGCTCCGTTATTCCCATTTGTTCGATTCTTTCTCGACAGATATGTATACACAACACTCTTGAATGGATATGATTGATTTAGAGCAAAGAAGGGATGATTGTTCGAAGACCTATTTGTATAGATGTGAAGTACCTGATTCACAACACATTTGAATTGCTCAAGAGCAAAGAATCGAACAGGAGCAAAAAAGGGATGATTGTTCGAAAACCCATTTGTGTTGAGAATGGATGAATAACAGAGCAAACAATCAAAGACCCATTTGATTCACAACACTCTTGTAGAATTTCCCTAAAATTAAGCAAAACCAAACAGGGTCTAATCGCCATAAAATTTCAATTTTACTCCTCATCTGTTATGCAAAATATAAACCTTATCATCATCGTCGTTGACCCTCACTAGATTTCTCGATCGATTGATCGATCAAGAGAGAGGCGATGGGGTTATCAACGTCAAAATGAGTCTCTCAAAGCTCCGACTTATCGCCGGATTTCAACTCAGCCTGTGACTCAGTCTTCGACGAATGTCTAAACCTAGCCCAACACGCCTTCCCAAGCGTTAAACCCTACCAGGCATGGTGGAAGTTCAGAATTAGGTCTTCTAGTTTTCAAACAGTGTGTGGAAAATGAAAGGAAGGGTATTTGGTGTGTGTATAATAATATTGAGTGAAGGTTGTAATTGTAATTTTTTGTGTGTACATTGAGAAAATTAATCAATATATAAATTAATAGGGATGTGTATTGAGAAAAGATGTACTTTGAGTTATTTAAGTAGGTGGAAATAGAATTTCCTCATGTTTTAGCCAAAAAATCAAAAAATTACTAAAATAACCTAGGCCTTAATATATGTTTAAAGATTTATTTTTGTATTGATACTTTGTAAAAGTATTCATTATACTAGTAAAATAAATAAGATGTATCTACAAGTACTTAACAAGGTAATTGTTGGTTTAATGGAAAAAAATAATGGCATTGACTTCCTTCAATCTCTGATCAAATTGAGGTGTTGTTGGGCTCGTGGAAGTTCACTACGGATTCTGTTTCGATAATCTGAACCGTTGAATATATAAAACTCGTCGAGTATTATATCTAAACAAAAAATCACGTTGTATCGGATATCAATTGCTACGTGATCAAATTAGTTTTGTATATAAAAAAAATGGACGGTAAAAAAATAAACGGTTGACAAAAAACTGATCTGATGAGATAGTTATCGATATCCGATCAACGTGATTTTTTACATGCATATAATACTCGATGAGTTTTACACATTAACGGTTCAGATTATCGAAATGGGACCCATAGTGGGCCCTCACAGGCAGTGGCGAAGCCAGCATGTGACCGGGGGGTCACGTGCCCCCCTGGATTTTCTTTTTTATTTTATTTTATTATTTTACATATGTATATAATAAAATTTTAAATAAAAATAATATTTAGAATAAAATGTCAAGGGCATTTTTAAATTTATGAAAATAGCAGTGATTGTTTTATTGAAAATGAAGTGACTATAACAAATTATATTTTTATGTATGAAAATTTTGTGAAAAAATCTCAATAGAAAGGTAATATCCATCATTATTAATATGCAAATATAATTAATCTCACTATAGATATGTAAAAATTATTAGAGTATTGGTTATATTTGCATGTAGAGTTTACCCTTCATATGTTATTTTATTAGTAGTTAGTAATATCATATGTCAATAATAACGTGATATCACTATTATACGAAATTTTTACTCAAATTTTGAAAAAATTTAATTTATCTTACCATTATATAATTTATTTTAAGACTTAAACCAAATGATGAAATCAATTTTTCAAAGCCTTACCAAACACAGTCCATCTTTGATTATAACAAAATCTTACGTTGAACCTAAAGTAGATAATGGTCAAACAGAAAACACCTCACCTCAACCAATTGTTATAAAGTATGGATACAGATACGAGATATGAATATGATATAATACGGATATAGTGGTAAAAAAAAATATAAAATAAACAACATTACATGTATAGTCATGATATGTAGAATAGAAAAAATTATAATTCTAGTATTATATCATGCAAGAGCTTAAAGAATAGTGATAATTCCTAATTTAGGAAGGTGAGAAAAGAAAAGAAAAAAGAAAATGAAGTGTTTTTCATAAAAGTTAATATAGGTATTTCTATAATATATATATATATATATATTGCTCACGTCAAACAGTCTGTTAGTTTAATTTAACGATTGATTAGTCGCAGGAAGAGGAAGGGATGTAATTTTTCAAGCATAAGGGGAGAATCTGTATTTTTAATGAATGTTAGGAATATATTTGTAATTTAACCAATGAAATAAGGTATAAACAACTCAAATAAGCTGTGAGAAATTTTATTTCCACACACCAAGTTGTCTTACTCCACACACTTAATGAATTTTTCAGAATCACAATTTTATCTTTTACAAAATTACCATCTCACCCACCACCATCTCACCCACACATCTCACAATTTCTCCATACACATCTCATCCACCGCCATCTCACCAGCCACTTCATTGCCGATCATCGCCTCTCATGCCCACACCTCGACCATACACAGCATTCATTTGTACACAAGCAAGGCTATGCAGCTCGTCAATGCTCTTGCTCAAGAGTGAGGATGATGCTTGAAACATTTTAAAGAAAGCCATTAAAAATACAGTGTCAAATGCATCCCCTGCATCATTTCACTGACAGTTCTGTTTACAACATGAAATAAACCCTTAGAAACCTAAGCTCCATCAAAGTCTTGAGTTTCATTTCAGGAACTGACTTGGCAAGGACAATAAAAGGATACCATAATGTCTACAGGCAGAGTCACAAGTGAAATCAATCAAGGGTTCCATATCCTTAGTTATCCTGTTTTCTCCTTATCTTGTATGTTTGTCCTCTTGGCATACCAATTCTTTAAGGGTCTTCAAGTTTTTGGAGTATAAAATGTTCCTAAATTTGAGTAAATTTCTCACCAGATTGAGCTGGTGAGGAAAAAAATGAGACTGCCAACATTTGTGCATGAGGCACGTGGTACAATATGAATGAATGGGACTGTCAAATTGCTGCTGCTGCTTCTCAATGCTCTTGCTCAAGAGTGAGCAGTCCTCGGACAATAAAAAATATACATCTCCCTTATTGGAGGGCTGCCACCGATAGCTGGTGCAGTTAGGGTTAAGGTTTTTAGAGTGAGAAATGATGGAAGGAGAGAATGTGCACAGAGAAAGTGAGGGTATATTTGGAATGTGAAGTATGTGGACTAAGATAAAGAAATAAAAATTAAATTACTAAATGTGTGCATTGAGAAAAGATGTATGCAGAGATAATTTGGTGTGTGAAAATAGAATTTCCCATAAGCTGTACCACATAGTCCTAATAGTTAAAAAGGAAAATTACAAAAAAATCTCAAGGTTTGAACTTTGTAATAAAACAAACTCTAAACTTTAAATTTTGTTAATTTAAATCCTAATCTTTTAATTTGTTTTTAATTTAAACTATTTGCCTACTTTTGTTAACTAAAATTGATTGAAAAAAATGATATTTCAGTC